AAAAACACTTGTCTTTCATTGGTGGGATGAAATATGCTAATTTTTTGGGACAGGCATTTTGGGTTTTCATGAGCTGTATGCCATAATCATCAGTATTAAAACAATTAAAGACCTGAAATATTTCAGTTGGTGTGCAATGAATCTGAAATATATGAAAGTTTCATTTTTATCATTACATTATGGCAAATAATGACCTTTATCACAATATGCTAATTTTTTTAGAAGGACCTGTACAATCTGTGTCCTCATTTACCCATTCATACAACACTCAACTAGATCTCTATAAAGCTAATTGAACAAATCATTCTAAAGAGACTAATCAGAGCTTTATCACATTCATACACTGATGGGACACACATCGGAGGCGATGGGGGGTTCAGTGTCTTGCCCATGGACACTTCGGCATGTGACTGCTGGTGGATTCGAACCCACAACTCTTGCATTGGAGGACGACTGCTCTAACCACTCAGACACAGCCGCCCCATAAAGCTAGGACAAGTTTCGTGGTACAAGACTAACAACAGAGATAGAGGAGAAAATTCTAAAAGCATGCACAGTGATCATCAAGTGATGCTTTCACAGTTTTTAAACAGCGCAAATGGGACAGAAGAAGTAAGTTTTAGAGTGGCTGCATGGTAAAACTTGCCTCTAAACAGAACCCCACTTCAAAACAGCTGGAACATTCTTTTAAAATAAAGTAATAGAAGCAGTGTTTTAAAAAAGGGAGACTCACCAACTGTGGATCACTTTTGGACAATCGTGTCTGGCGAACCTTTACATCCCCAATCGAAACAGACAGGATGGAGGCTGCGATGAGGGGCATGGTGCCCGAGTCTGCCACCGAACGCACCTCCACCCGGATCCTCCGAGACTGACCCTAATGTTTAAGAGTTCAGACAACAGTTACAGACTGGTCAAGATGAATTGGTCTCAAAAATCACACAAGTGTACAACAAGATGTGCAAATTCACAAACAGTTGTTCAAATGTATGCTGGTGAAGATGTTCAAATGTACACATTTCAAAATGCACAAAACATGTGCTACGCATGGATCAGTCAACACCAGCGCACGGATCAGATGTCTGAATGAGACTTTTGTGACTTTCTTACCGCTCCAGATTCACAAGAACAATGCTGCCTTCAGGGATGGAGAAAAGCTGGGACATCTGAGCCTCACCAGGTTTACTGAGTTATTGGGGAAATATTCATTTCTAACTTGACACAGCAGCAGCATTATTTCTGTGAATCTGGAGGTAAGAAAGTCTCAAAAGTCTCATTCAGACAGCTGATCCATGCACAGCAGCTGATTTGTGCACGTGTATTTGACGAGTTGTGTACTCAGAATATTCCTACTTGTTCCATTTGAACATTTGAAAACTGTTTATGCATCTGTGAATCTTAGGTACGCTTGTGAGACTACTTTGTTTTCATACAGACTGTACTTGACGCAGTCGTAACAACAAACATTAAATTACTAAACTGAAGATGAAAATGTGTTCTTCTAAAATAAAGAATACGAGCTCGTGTTCAGACTGAGGACAGAGACCAGGACACCTGTTTGAGTTGGAAGACACCTCCAGTGCGAACATCCTTAGCAGGAAGTACTTCCACAGCTGTGTACTCTCCCGCCTCGTTTAGCTCCATCAGCTGCACCCACAGCTCCAGCCGCCGGGTCACCTCGCTCCACCTGCAGGAGACCCAGTCATTGAGGCACAGCTAGGGAAAAAGTTAAACACAGCACCTGCACGTCGTGTTTGACATTCACAGACATCTCCGACGAGCAGCTGGAATTTGGTTCAGTTTAGTTTAGTTTTTGGACTTGGGAGTCCAAACAGAATGCACTTCAAGAAACCAGAACATGCAAATTATGACCCTTTTGGCTTCCCGTACGTCCTCTGCTGCAGCTGTTCCACACAGCTCATCTACAACAAATTGCTTTTAACTCCGGTTTCATCTGAACAACACATTCTGGATTGGCTCTGACGTGGAGTGCTTTATAAAAACATCATCCTGGACCTGTGAGACATGTCAGTTCAACCAGTCAACAGGCTTTACATCTTCATCTGATCCAGGGGGGAACCTCAGGCCTTCAACACCTTCAGAGAAGTCCTAAGAATTCAGCACGTATGAAATGTTACATTTACAAATTTATTTTAATATTTAGTTTACATAAAATATTTTTTCATGTAGTTGTCTTTTTTTAATTCTTAAAATTTTTCTTATTTTCTGTAAACTATTTTGCAGTTGAGAAACAAGTTTAAAAAAAATCTTAAAAACAGAGTTATCTAACCAGATTATTTTAAATTATGTCTACAGGCTCAGTCAGAGGTTCAAAGGATAAGTTTAATAACTGAGAGGAAAATTAACCAATCGCTAATGTAGAGTGAGTGAAACCAAAACACGAGATTCAGGACTCTGGGAAGGCCTTGCAAGGAGTTTTTTTCCCACTACATGAAGAACTGTGATGCATTCAGGTGCAAAACGTTATGGTAATTAAAAAATCTACACAGAAATTGTAATTTCTCAAAAATTTAGATTAAATATCACATTCAGGTTTACATCGAGGTGGTACAGTGGTTCAGCTGGTAGAGATGTTGCCTCTCAAGAAGGTTGCCAGTACAAATCCTGGCCCAGGACCTTTGTGGGTGGAGTTTGCATGTTCTCTCCATGCTGCGTGGGTTTTCTTTGGGTACTCTGGTTTCCTCCCACAGACCAAAAACATGCATGTTATACTGATTGGTAACTCTAAATTGTCTCTAGGTGAGAGAGTGAATGGTTGTTTGTCTCGTTTATCTCTATGTGTCCCTGTGATGGACTGGAGACCTGTCCAGATGTAGTGAACTAAGCCTCCGGTCAAAACCTGCCTCTGAAGACCTCCATGAGACAGGAACTGTTATTTCATTGATTTGAATCCAGAAATACAAATTAGCTCATCCAGAGACTTTCTAATTGTATCCTGAACTAATCAATTGAAAGAACACTCTCTTTTTCATATTATCATTACTATTTTACAATGTCTTGATAATCAAAAGTGTGTTTAGTTCATACCATTTTAAATGTTGAAATGAACCACTCATTTTAAATCAACTATGAAACAGTATTAATGATTTTTAATCCTCATTCAAAGTAGAAATCAAATTAAATGTCTGTTACAAAGTAATTATGCATTTTTGATCTTCTGTCTGAAATGAGAGAGTGATGTCGGTCAAAAGCCGGAGACAGTCCGAAGCAAGTTATTGGAACGAACTGTCGTGTTTTTAAACCTCTCAGACAGAAACAAGAAAACTGGCACCTGTAAGTCTGTCATTTCTCCAAAACATTTCTCTGTCTGTTCCTAAACATCTCCGCTGTTTTTCTGACTTGTAATGACCCTCTGACGTCACTAAAACCACACCCCTGTTGGTTCTTTCAACCAACCAGGACTTCCCAAAAGTGACCGGAAGCAGAACTCTTTAAAAGTCGACACTTCCTAGTTCCAGAGGGAACAGAAGTTCCGAAAGAGAACAGAAGTTCCGAAAGTTCTGAAGTGCTGGAGTTATTTGGGAGTTCTTCCGAGTCTAGTTGGGATTATGGAATCTTCCACATCTGAGTGAAACCGCTGACGGACTCACAGCTCATGTGAGTCCACCCGGGAGGTGAGCGTGTTGTTGAACGGAGTACCGTCACTACTTCGGACAATTCTCAGCCATCCTAAGGAGACGCTGAAAGGTAGCGTTGAAATGGAACTCCGTACCGGAGCTGACCTATCTTCTGCAAAGGTAACGAGTCGCTTCACTACCGAGTGTACCGAGGCTGAGCTAGGGTCGGATGGAAGGTGCTGTTCCTCGTCAACACACTTTCCCTCATCCATCTTTCCTCTCCATTTAAACTCCTTCATTCCCCATCTTTAAAACTCTTCTATCTTGCCAGTAATTAATCCAGATATCTTCAGAAATGTCTGTTGTTTTTATTAAGTAAAACGTGCCAAGTTTTATTAATCAGAGCCGATAGCATAATCAAGTGTACAATGTTTTGATGTTAAATTTTGATTCTGTTAATAAATGACCACATTCATTTTGATGGGTCAAAGAAACTTAACGTCGCATGTCACTGATTAGACCATCTCCCACACAGTACCTCTGTCACATATCTGTCAAGTAGCTCGAAAAAGTGAGAACCCGTTATTAAAAATTGACTGTAGTGGAGCTCCTAAGCTAACTGAAGCTAACCTAGCCCTACATCACTACACAGATGTCCCCCGTGACCCGAAAAGGAAGAAGCAGGTAAAGATAAGGGATGGATGGATGGATGGATGGATGATGGTTGGATGGATGATGGATG